GTAGATGGTTAGGCAACTGGATGTTTTTTGTAGATGGTTGAGCAACTGGATGTTTTTTTGTAGATGGTTAGGCAACTGGATGTTTTTTGTAGATGGTTGAGCAACTGGATGTTTTTTTGTAGATGGTTAGGCAACTGGATGTTTTTTGTAGCTGGTTGAGCAACTGGATGTTTTTTTGTAGATGGTTAGGCAACTCAGTACTCTGTATTTCAGTTGGTTAGAGCGCTGCACCTGTCTGGTACCCATGCAGACGTCTCTTTTTACGACCTTCTAGAAGAAAAGGCGGCGTACGAGTCTGCGAGAGAAAGGCAGCAAGAGAGAGAAAAGCGCCACATTTTTCTTTAAAAAGGCATAATTTTCCTTTCTGTGTAAGGTGTAAGTGGTAAAAAAGAGATGCGTGAGGAGGAGGCAAGCGCTGCACCGGAATGGCGGAATCCTAGACCCGTAGGTTCGATTCCTGCGGGAAGGTCTATACTACTATACTCTTATATAGTACAGTTGCATTTTTCGCAACTGCTCCTGCATGGGTGGTTCAAAATGTATAGAAATTTGCATTCAAGAATTACATCTACAAAAAACACAATCATCCAGTTTACATTTGCCTGTTATTAATTTTTGGCCCGTTCTTACATTTGTTTAATTTGCTTGTAAAATCTGTCATTCTTCCGTTTTACTCTTTAACGTTTTATCCAATGTTTGTATTTTTCTTTAATTCAACCCAGTTTGGGTATGTTTTCATTAGATCCACAGACGAATGTTGCAGAAAGAAATGCCTATGCTTCCTAAACTACAACTTCCAATTTGTGATGTTCGTGATGCTGCAACTGCACATATAAAATCTTTAACTCTTCCAGACACTCCTGGTATGTTATTAGTATATATCCTAATTTTGTAAAATATCATACGATACTCAATGGATTATTGGTTTTATGGAGTATCTGGTAATCGTCATAGAAGCATTGATATTTTCCCCGTTTAAAGATTTTCGATGAGCTACTATATTGTATAAAATGAACGGTTCAACATGCTGTTTTAGAATTTACTGTTTATATATTTTTCAACATGGATATTCAATGCGTCGATTAACAGGATGAGTTAATTTTTGTATATCTACACCGTGGGATAATTCAATATTCGCGATTTTAGTACTCTCAGTGACCACAGATCTGTATTAAGACGTCAGTGACTGGCATTAATTTACCCGCAAATAGGGGCCGGTTTGGGCATCTCCCGCACAGCGAAGAGGTTTAGTTTAGGGACTCGCGTTACACTTGCCCAAATGTTTCTGGAACAGATTAGGTATTCTATTTTAAAAATAAGGAAAATTGTGAATAACCTTTTGTATTGATTCAGGAAACAGATTTATTATCACCGCTGGGAGTATGTGGATGAGAGAATTTGCACAAACATTGGAGAGAGAGTTTAAATCCCAAGGTATATATACAGCTATTTCAATTAAGGTTGTCCACGAGCAAAGCGGAAAAGTCGAATATATACGAGCGCGAAAGGCTGCTGGGAATCGCTTTGAAAATTCATTAATTTGTTAACGATTCCCAGCAGACTTCCGCGCTCGTATTCGACTTTTTCGCTTTGCTCGTGGACAACCTTCATTGAAATAGCTGTATATATATAACGATGCTGCATGGTTAAATATACATTACACATATGTTTAAATAGATTCATCATTCCAATGAGTTTTAGGTAACGTAATTGTCCTTTGCTTGCAACTGGTCCAAAAAGAATCAAATTTAAAAATGATTACCTATCTTTACTATATACCAAGTGTCAAAGTCCATGAATTCTTGCCTCTCATTGGACGAGAGCGTATCACGTGAAAGTCAAGTCTCCTGGCAACAGCTCTGATCGGTGGACTATACTTTCATTCACCGTTATAACAAAAATTATCGGTGCTTTCTCGTTTCTTTTTAGTTTCTTTGACACTTGGTATATAATAAAATACTTCCACATAACATGCTTTTTCCCGAACGTCCCAGTCAATAGGTGTGGGTTATCCTACACTGTAGGTCTAGTGTCAAGTAATGTCGCTCGAAGCAATATTATCTGGCGGTTACTGAAAGACGATACACCGGGTGTTTTCCGTCGTTTCTTGGGAGTATCTGTGGAAGTGCAAGAATATACAACAGGCACAAAACTTTCCTCCTTGTGCACATGTAGGATAATTTATTTCCAGAATTTTGACTAGGTTAACTAGTTTTCATGTCTTTCATGACGTCATGTGCGTCTCCTAAAAATCCTAATGATGTAGTACTAATAACAAACTAGTAAAAAATTATTTTGTTGTATAGGCTACACTATTCCTACAAAATATTGTCCAAAATTTGGTCTACGTGTCATGTCACTATTTGACAAATCTATCAAGTCCATAATTCCGCTTGTTGGGAAAGTCGTCAATATTTCTAATGAAAAGGTATGTTTTTTACGAAAACATTAGGTTTGCCATCTGGGTGCCTTGTTTGCTTGCATACCTGCAGCCCTGCATGGAAGTAGCTTTTTCACACACGACTCTACTCTTCTGACTCTACGAATTATGACTGCAACATAGTCTGTGAAAGATGAGAGTGAGTAGTGTGCAAAACACTTTTCATTATGTACGAGTCAAATCCAACCGCGATCAGGCCCCCCAAATGCCCTGCTATAGGGGTAGTCCTGTTTCTGGAATTTTGACTAAAATTAAATTGAACAAGTATTTCAAGATTAAAAAGAACGAAAAATAGGCCAGACAGTTCTTCTTTTTGTTCAACTGGGCATATTGTATCCTATATCTATGATTGATATTTGTGATTCAGAAGCAATTTTCAAACTATCGAAAAGACGCAAAATAGAAAACTCGTAAAGCGCTAGAATGTACACATATTCTTAGGGAAAACTGCTGAGCAAGTTGTTGTCAAGTGGTCAAATGCCCGGCCAGGCCGTCAAATTCCCGCCTATACGGGGGTAATGTTAAGTCAAATGCCCTGGGATTGCCCGGGGGGGGGGGGCTGATCGCGGTTGGATTTGACTCGTACATTATACCATATCGTTAATAAATGTTTGGGATATACTCCGTATATACAAATTAAAATAGTGGTTGTGCTATGCAATGAAAATGGAACTACAAGACCTAAACCATAGATTTAACATGGATTCTTTTATCAGTTTTGATGGAGAATGTAATCATTTGAATCAGGGTATATATCAAACAATTAAAATTGATGCTAAAGAAGACTAGATAATAAGTCCTTTGCACAATGTTAAAAAGAAGTCAAATTGGAGGGAAAAAACAATGAAAAGACAATGGAACATTCCGACCACAGAATCGTGAATGACAGTACGTTATGCTAACTATTTTCAAAGAACCAATTTTGCCAATATATATATAGCATGTCAGTTTTGGCATTTATTCCCAGGGCAATTTGGCCCGGGCCCCCGAATTTCTCTGGGAGGCCCTGATTATTCCCACGGACTATGTTGTATTAATTTTCATACAGATGGTAAAAGAGCTTGGTATAACACCAATAGAGATGGAAAAATCTATCATTGATATGGCATACAGTTTAATTGATCACGGTTTTGTGAAGAAGACCAAGGAATATAATGAACCAAAGAATGATGAAAACGGTTGTTGAACATAGTATATGCAGGGTGTATAAAAAAGTAGACAATTTTGAAACGGCTCTCAATTTCACAAATCCCGTTCATTTCATCAAATTTTATAAATATTGTTTGGGTACTTATAATCTAGAATAAACAAAAAATTTTCGTAAAGATAAATTTGCTAGAGCAGGGGGGGGGGTCTTTTCTAACAGCATTAAAAATAGCTTGCGCGCGAAATTTAAAAGTTTAAAACGCGTGTGTTATCAATGGTCCAAATATCATAAAATTTACTTCAAACACTCATTAATAATTCATAAGCTTATTGGCAAATCATGTCAACCATAATATGTCACGTGCAGTAGCTTTAAACCTGATAAAACACTCCTAATTAGTATTCTTTATATAAAGAATACTAATAAGGCAGTATCTATTGTAGTCGTGTCCTCATTAGTAATTCTTTATATAAAGAATACTAATAAGGCAGTATATCTATTGAATTTGTAGTCGTGTTTGAAGCCGTTTAATAAACTCGCAGGTCGTGTTTTATTAGGTCTAAAGCCACTCGCGCTGCGCGCTCGTGGCTTTAAACCTAATAAAACACTCCTGCTCGTTTATTAAACAGTACTTAATGTTAAGTCCTTTAAATAGCTGCTATCTATCACGCATGTTTAATTCACGCCTTTACCTAATTTGCATATTGTTAGTTGTAAAAAAGTAAAATAACAATATGTAATTTTTTGTTTATTCTACATTATAAGTACCCAAACGGTCTATATTTATCAAAAATTTCATGAAATGAAGGGATTTGTGAAATTGACAGCCGTTTCAAAATTATATACTTTTTCTGATACACCCTGTTATAAGAACATTCATTAAGGTATTTTTATATACAGTTAATTCAATGAAGGTTGTCAACCTCTCTATACGTGCGAAGATCACATTCATCTCTTTGCATTCTTACCAAATCTCGTCTGCTTTTCAGTTTTGACCCTTAAATGTCGAGGGCAAGCCTAGAAAATACATTTCTCTTCCTGGAAGCAAAATCAAAAACAAAAATATCCTGTGTAAGTTAAATATAAAACCTCCTGCATGTAGTGTAGATTTCAGAGAATGTATGTATTGGTGCGCACATGCATGTGTCATTGTGATAAACTTCAATCTCGGCACAAGACAATCTCGACTTGCAAAACGCCGTTTGTAAAGAATAGATAAATTATATGGTATTCCAGTATATAGGATGACGATTAGATGTAAGAAAATTTCCTGCGAAAAGATTTTGTTAAAAATTTCGTGAAAAATTTCTGGCAGCGGTGCTGCAACACTGGTCGAGGGTCTGAGGTTCCGCACGTTATCAACAATATAGTATTGTAATTATCAACCGTTATCAACAATAAGTTATTGGGTTGTCACTGAAAAGAAAACCACAAGCATTGGACAAAAGTTTTAGTTATAAATGTAACTGTCTTATTATGGAGGGGGTGGTGGTTGGGCAAACTTCACCAGCTTTAGGGTTAGAGGGTGGGGGTTAGGGTTACAACCCAGTAACTTATTGTTGATAACGGTTGATAATTACAATACTATATTGTTGATAACGCAAGGAACGGCTGTTTAAAGACAACCTGAATTGATAAGCTGCATGTATTTAATTAATTATATCATAGATGTATATTTTTGTACGTATCGGTATAGTACCCTGGGACCGAGGTTGTATAGTTATTAGGCATATTCATACATATCAAACATTCTTTATTAACAACGTAAATCGTTGGGCATACACACGATTTCATGTGAACGTGTGTATTATACCTCAAATTCAGTGTCCAATCAGAAAGCTAAGTTTGTGCCACGTGAGCTTGAAATTTATCATCGAAACACGCCTTACGTCACCGTATTTGACGTAAGCTGGTGACTTGAATAATATCGCACGGCGATTTGAGCATGTTCCCAGGCACAGGTGACATGATTCGCGTAAACTGACCACGCGCGGGGATCACGCAAACAAGATGGCCGACAAAATATACATGGAGTGATGATCTTATTAAGTTTTTAAACTTCTTTTTTTTCCGAAAATTTTGAAAAATGTTATCATCAATATTCCAAACGATATGTGATTTGAAAGAGAAGTGACAAATACTTGCGTTAATCAAAAAATAAAACATCGTATTTACATTTACATCACTTCGGGTAATATTTTGCTGAATCCCCTCGCTCCAGGTCTATAAATGATAAATATTATATTTTGTACAAGTGAGAATTCATAAATTACTTTTAGGTTTGACTTTTTTGTTTTATTACTTGCACTACTACAGAGTGGTCCAGGTTATGCTGAGTAGATGCACAAACGACCACAGAGCCAAAAGGAAAGTGTGTCGCCTTTAGTAACCCCACAATATCTATATTATCAGCAGCTTGTTGCATGACTTATTGCTCTATGTACAGTACCTGCATGTATAAAAACCTGTGGCTAATGCAGTGGCAAGAAGAAAATATCCTCCTTGATGATGCATCCTTGACTGAAACTTTTACTTAATCACGCGTTTAATAAAATACTTCATTTTTGGGCTTTACATTAGATATCATTTTACCATAGTATTATAATCGATGTACTGTGTTTTAATTGGTTTCACTCTGTTCGGACTGAGTAGTCTTCTATACTCATTTTTATGTGGTGGTAGATGTTTCTTTCCTTTGTTCCATTCAGCGTCGCGCCATTTATTTAAACTGAGATAATACGGTTCAGTATTTGTTCCTACAGTGACTACATTCACTTGAGATGTTTGACTTTCGACAACTTTCAATGCTGCACTGGGTACATCTGTATAACAGAACGATTATTACTACATGTAATGTTTACAAGATGAGTAGATGTGTTGCTTATACAATCAGAAGGCGAAACCCAATTCAAATCACAAACTAGTTGCAAACACTGGTTGTTGTAACAGAGAAGTTACAACCACTAGTGTATATGTGTCATTTGTATAGGGTTTACATGTCACGATTTCATAAATTTTTACTCTGACAATTCTTCTGAAACGATATTTTTCTGAAAATTGAACTGAAAATTCCAAAAGCATGAGACAAAGGGTTAGTATATGCTCTGATAAAACTGGAGTCTTTCAAGGACATTAAATTGCATGGTGTATGGCGGAGGTTTTGAAAAGGGATGTGGGTTATGTTTAGGGTGAGGCGGTTTTTATAAAAAAACGAAAACCGAAAACCCCCGAAAAAAACGAGTGAACCGATTTTTTTAAAACATGACGTTCGAAACTACAGTTAAAAATGTGCATGACACTACCATAGATATCTTATATACACTAGATATAGTGTATCTAATTATTCTGCAATTCAAAAATTGAAGCCGTGATTGCAGACTCAGGATATTCCCATGAAATGAGAAGACTCGTATGTTTTCTATTTCTTAAAAGAGGGAACTTATACATTAAGTTAAACCTATTCCAAATACATTTTCAAACTGTTCAAATGATGAAAGTTATTGTTGTTTTTTAAGCGTTTATTAGCGAGTGGGGAACTCCAACATGGCCGCCATCTATTCAAATGGGGGTCACCGCTGGAATATTCTTGGCTTCAATTTAACTTAAAGAGATGCGCTATCTAGTGTATATAAGATATCTATGGACACTACTCATGCAAGCTCGTGCGAATCGAAGCCCTTCCGTTCTTAGATCGCTGGTTATCGTTATAGAGAATAATACATGGGTGCGCGAGTGCGCGGAAATACCAGATTTATTTCGCATGATATCTCACGAGTGAGCGCAGCCAACGAGTGAGATATCATGTTCAACACGAGAAATAAATCTGGTATTTCCAAGCACACATGTATTTTTCTGTTTATTATATAAACAAAATTCAGTGAAAAACAATAAAACGTCCGTGGCAATGCGTTTTACACACGTAAAAATATTTTCACACGTAAAAATATCGTATTTTTTACGTGTGTTTAAATACGATTTTTCTCAGTGGCCAAAAACTCTATATAACACTTATGTTTATATAATAAATATAATTCATGCATGTGTAAACTCAAATTACACTAGCGGACCCGTGTAACTATGATAGTATAAACACTCTTTTAGTACTAGGCCTATTACAAAAGCGTCATTTGAATACCGATTTTGGTTCGGTTTATCACCGAAAGCAACATTGGTTAAATCGGTTTTAAAAAATAATATATCGATTAACCGCCTCACCCCTAGTTATGTTTATGATGTTAGTGATTTGTTGGGTAATGTTGAGAAGTTATGTCTGCAATTAAAATTATGTTAGAATATGCTGCGCATGCATGATCTGGAATGATAGTGATCTTAGTTGGTTATAACACATGGCCGTGTAAACGGTTATAAAAATTGTTTAGCAGCTATTGCAACTTTGCAAGCCATGCTTTTTACATCCGTTAGCGCCAAGACTTGCTCCAAGTCTGCTGCTCAATTTTTTTTAAAAACTCCAAATGAAAACCTCTTTGGGAATTGGAAGGCAGACTTGGGGAAAGTCTAGTTCGAGCGCCAAAAACGCGGGTCGGTGTTTGGATGGGAACGGATGTAAAGAACCTGGATTTCAAGTTTGCAGCTATTCAAGAAAGGAACTTTATAACATCCAGACTTACCGGGCGATGACTTGCCATGTTCTGAAGATTCAGCTTTCGCTTTATCCAATATAAAACTTCCCAGGCCGTCTTTACTAACATATAGACCATGCTTTGTCAGTGACTTCGCATCAACAAGTCGAGACCTTTAAAACAATTTTATCGTAAATGTATACCTTGCCGATTGTGATAAAGGATCGCGTTGCGCGGGACAAGAGGCCAATTCAAGTCACGTGAGTATCAGACACGCCAAAAAGGTTGAATATAGTTCAACTTTCATGCGAACATAAGACTATACCGCGATAGAAATCTACAGCATAGATTGAAACACGTTCCCACGTCCCGCACAGACAAAGAATTCGAAATGGAAATGGCCCGCTATATACCTCGCGCGTCATTGCATGTCGAGTTGCAAGTTCTGTTATAAAATAACCATTAAAGGGAACCACCTTAAAGGGTAACCGATTTTTGACTATTTCTTGTTGCAAAAACTTACTAAGTATACACTGTAGGTGGCGTAGCCAGGTTATAGGTAGGCTTTTTTCTTTTTCAACCTTTCACAAAACATTCATGCATGACAATGATATTCTATGCCAATTATATACGAAAGCGCAGTTGTAGCAACAATTTGCCTCGTGTAACATGGCCTTTAGTAAGGATAACTATACTATCTAATTATTTTAAAACAATTCAGTTAACCCATACCGCAGTATCTCTTATTACCTGTTGTATCTTGCTCCAGTTAAATATGCATGAACAGATTTCATGTAATCAAATACCCTGAAAATACGATAAAATATAGACGTCTTATTTTTCAAAAAGTACATGCATGCGCGAATTATTCAACGAAATACAAACCTCAGTCCTCACCCCAATCACCTTGAGTAGTATAGTAGGTAGTTTTCGAGCCCGTTTTTTGAGCTGCCGCAATGAATAGCCGCACGGTCAACTGCCACGAGATGAGCTACCTCATTCATGACGTCATAATAGGTGACGTAACAAACCTGGGCAAGTTGAGGCCAGTGAACTCTAAGGGAACTGGAACGACACTATGCCGCCATCTTTGAAGCCAGTCCAATCTCGCTCCCCGAGCCTGCGATCCTCGGGAAGGAATCGAAGGCTCTGGGATAATCCGTTACCGGACGCCAAGAATCCTGGCTAAGATTGAACTACGCATTCCATTTCAATGGCCAATCAGATTCCTCCCTGAAACGGATTATCCCAGAGCCTCGCGTTCCTTCCCGAGGATCGCAGGCTCGGGGAACGAGATTGAAGCCAGTCATGATGGCCGCCATGTAGGTTCTGTTTCGAGCACTAAGTAGCCGTATTTCAACAAGGAAAAAAGCTTAAAACGTTCAACAATACTTGAAATTTAATTCAAAACATGTTTGTCTAGAACGTAGAGCGGCTTTAAAGTTCTTTTCTAGTTTTCTTAGGAGTCAAAGCGCGAAGTTTTTTCGGGACGTTCAAACCTCAGTGGTTCAAACTTGTGTATGATTTTGAATAGGAAACTGTTACCCAGGACGTTTTTGCTGTTAGTGGATGTAAAATACTTAGAACTATCCAGGAAACCAGGTTTGAATCTTTAAAATTGAAGCCTTTTGATAAAAAGTACTTTTTCTTGCTAATTGTTGCTCAAAAACAAACTTTTGACTGAATTTCCCGCTCCTCGAAACTCTCCCTAGTCCTTTGAAAGATAAAATTTATCCCGCCTGGCTCCCGCGCTTGGCTTCAACCAATCATAGGACTTGATCACTGGAGTTATCGTTCCAGTTTAATTATAGTTCACTGGTTGAGGCAAACGCCAATGTGAGAGGATGCTAATCCTAATTAAACTTCAATTTTTGCGAACTAAATGTGCCTCACTTGGTAAGGTTTATGGCCATATCAATTTCTTTTCAAATAACGACATTGCCATATCGATATCATACAAATAACGACATGGCGATATCATTTAAATTAGCTTCAATTAAGCATTTTCATCACAGTAGCTATTCCGCAACTGGCGTCCACATAAATTTTACCCAATATTATAATAATAAAAATAATTAAAAAATACATATAAGGTAACTTGTCAATAGGGGCCCTATATGTAAGCACGGTCTTTATTCGACAGCAATCACAGAAATTTCTCTGGTTATATTGCTTTGGTGAGGATTAACGTCCGATTCTTAGACGATGTGTCTGTTGATATACTGTACGTACTCTGCTACAGGCCTCAGTATTTCGATGAGTAAATGTTCGCCAAGTGAGGCACATTTGATTTAGTTCGCAAAAATTAAAGTTTGTCGAAAGCACGAATCAAACCCCGTGTATGTTATATCATAATGGATCTTAATCGTACGAAAATCATACATATTTTTATGCACCCTCCAATATTGTCCGTTTGCCTAAACTTGCTCAGGTTTGTTTCACCTATTGTGACATCATTCTCATGATCAGTGCGGCAGCATGATCAGTGCGGCAGCTCAACAACTCGTGGCACTGACCTCGCGGCATCTCATACAAAGGGCTCCAAAACCAACCTCGTACTCAGGCTCTTTCCTCTACAAAACTACTTGCTATACCACCCAACGTGTAGAATACATGTGCTAGCTTTTAACGTTTTCCTAGCATAGTTGTGTCACTTGTGACGGTCGTGGGGTGTACAGTACATGTAGCTCCCTAACCGCTGTCTTTTTTAACATGGCGCGCATTCCCGTAACTAAGTTAATTCTTAAAGCCGGTTTTCCACTTCGCCCGTATCGTAGCGAAACATACTGGTGAGCATGCGCAGATTGAAAAGAGGTTTATAAAACCACGTACTTCCGGTTGTATTGTTGTATTCGCGTATCAAAATAAAAAGTTCGTCGCAAGTCAACTTTTTGGCGTACTACGGAAGTACTAACCAATCAACATTCACGAAATTTTGAAATTTAAAAACGTTTCTGATACGTTACGGTACGATACGCTTGAAGTGGAAAACGGCCTTAAGGCCCATTTACACTTCTGTTTACACCGTCTTCTTCTGAGGAATGTGAACGAGTAGATGATTATGAATGTTTTGAGTACGTGTAAGGTGTAACCTCATCTGAACATCCATAACTCATCCACTCGTTCACATCCATCAGGAGCAAATTGTACTGGTGTAAAAGCCCTTTACTCCAGTTACAAATGACGTTCAGTGAGCTTCCAGATGAGAAGACGACATGATTGAAACTTACTCCTTAGGTGTTAATGAATTCTTGTGCATTAAATACTCTTTCCCTGTACAAAAACGAATTTATATTATTGCACGAAACAATAGTAAATCAGCAAAAAAATAAAGACATATATTCCATATAAAGTAAAAAGTATAGTTTAATAGTACTTACGCACAACGCAAGGTTTCTTTTCTCTTATTTTCTCACTACTTGGAGGTTCATTTGAGGCTGGCCTAACGTCGTATGCAGACTTGGTTCTGAGAAGACTGAAATAAGATAAAACTATGTCGTACCATCTAGTCATTTTTGAACTACACCAAATATAGTTATTGTCCAATTATCACTGATCACGGTGTACCGATTCACCGGTTTTAAAATTGTACCAGAACAAAACAAGTTAAAATTGTACGAACAAAACAAGTTTTAGTCTGAAGAAATCACATTATACTTTCTATATCAACAAAATATCTGAATGTGCAGAAACTAAGGATTTAAAAAAATGCTGGTCTACAATAAATTCCCTGCTAGGGAAACAAAATAAATCCAATTATATTAGTGAGCTCAAAGTTGGTGAAAATGTCATCACAGACCCTAATCTCATTGCGGAGCATTTTAATACACACTTCATCAACATTGGAGTGTACCCTGATAAAAATGATACGCCAAACGAATGTGGAGAAAATCTTTATTTCTCTGACACAAACATCCATTCCCAAACTAATAATAAATTTAATTTTTCTCTCATTAAGGTTGATAGTGTCCTCTGTAATTTGAAACACCTTAAAGCAAATAAATCCACTGGCCTAGATGCCATCCCAACGAAAATACTAAAACTAGCTGCCCATATTATTGCCCCTTCCTTAACGAATATTTTTAATTTATCTCTTCAAAGCGGTATTTATGTTAACGATTGGAAACGAGCTCGAGTAATTCCTATCTTCAAATCTGAAGATAAAAGTAAATGTGAAAATTATAGACCCATTTCTATTTTGTCAATTGTAAGTAAAGTCTTTGAAAAAGAAGTGTTTAGGCAAGTGTATACGTACGTGAATGAAAGTAATCTTCTCTCAAAGTATCAATCTGGCTTTCGGCCACAACACTCAACCTTATCAGCCCTCATTAAAATATGTGACGAAATCTTAAATAACATGGACGAGGGGAAAATAAACTGTATAGTATTTTTAGACATACGGAAAGCTTTTGATTCAATAAATCACAATATTTTATTAAGTAAAATAAGATCCAACTTTGGCATTAGCGGTAATGAATTACTCTGGTTTGAATCATACCTAACGAATAGGGAACAACAATGCGTAGCTAATGGGATACTATCCTCCGTTGGAAAATTAAAATGTGGGGTCCCCCAGGGGTCGATCCTGGGGCCGTTGTTATTTTTGCTCTACATCAATGACCTACCACAATGTCTCCAAAAAACCACGCCGGGTCTTTATGCTGATGACACGGAAATTTACGCGTCATCACACAATGTAAATGATCTTATTGACAACATAAATTATGACCTAAATATTGTTACGCAATGGATGGAGAATAATAAGCTACAAATTCATCCTAAGAAATCTAAATGTATGTTTATTGCATCCCCTTATAAAATTAAGAATATACCTCAAGGAATACCAATATTAATTAATAATGTTCCTGTCCCAAGATTAAATTGCTACAAATGCCTCGGTGTCACTTTAGACGAAAAATTGAACTGGGAACATCATATTGATATGATTATTAAGAAAGTCAATGCAGGCATTGCAGTAATTAAACGTATGAAAACCTGTGTTCCTCAGGAATTCTTACAAACAGTTTACAACGCCTTAATACAACCCTATTTTGACTACTGCTGTCAATTGTGGGATACCTGTGGAATCGTCCTAAAGGAAAAACTACAAAAATGTCAATCCCGAGCTGCTAGAGTAATAACAGGAGCATCTTATGATATTAGGTCGGCCGATGTTCTTGCAACTTTGGGGTGGCAAACTCTCGACAATAGGCGAAAATACTTGAAATCCATTTTTATTTACAAAATCTTAAATAATGAAACTGCTCCAAACCTGAAAGAAAATTTTTTGAAAATAAGTGATTGTCCAATTACACACCAATTAAGAAATTCTCAAACAGATCTGGTACTTCCATTCCCAAAATCACAATTTAAGAAAAAGACCTTCAGTTATAGTGGAGCAACTCTTTGGAATAACTTATCAATTACTGCTAAACAATCCAATTCTTTGAGTTGTTTCAAAAGATTAATGAAACTACATTTTCGAAAACCATAAGTATGTAAATAGTTTTGTATGTTTGTTATTTATTTATGTTTGTTAATTTGTCAAAATAATCATGTAAATAGTTTGTATTATGTATATGTATTAGTCTTATTCTTACACGTCCCCTATGGAAACCATCAAAAGATGTTAGGGCTAACGTGTTTAAATAAATTTTTATGTATGTATGTATGTATATTATAAAATAACATGTATACAACGCGTGCTGATTGGTCGAAACCCGTGTTTGGATCAGGCCATCCAAACACGGAAGACTATCGTGTTGTTGTTATTTTATAAAACAATTACTTTATCATGGTTTCCGTGTTTGGATGGCCTGATCCAAACACTTGGGAATGTCGCGCGCTTTTCTTAACTCTCGCAACATTCACGCGTGTTTGGATCAGGCCATCCAAACACGGAAACCATGATAAAGTAATTGTATATTCAAAGAAAACAAGCAATGACCACTTTCAAAGAAATCAAGCGAAATAACCAAAATAACAGGACGTACTAGATATAGTGGTGTCTTTGGGGCCAAAACCATGCAGGTTGTTTTAAATCTTAAAGATTTCTGGTTATGACCAAACTCATTTATCTTAACGATTTCTGGTTATAACCAAACTCATTTATCTTAAAGATAGTCTGGTTAGGACCAAATGGTCTAATATCTGAATATTAATTGATAAAACCTGAATATCAGCAGTCTAATTTGCGACATATAGTTTACGGTGAATGAGAGTGGAGTTTGATGCTCAATACCTGGCTTTAGTTTGTCGTCCAAGGTGACTTGAAATCTCACATGCAGACACAGGTCTTTCAGCATACGAATACACAGTACTGGCTGACTTTGGACGATATGCAGGACGTCGTGGTTTAGCTGGCTCTGGTATAGATTGTGAGTCAAGCAGCGAATACCACGAAGCATGTGGTCGGCGTAGCGCTGAAGAAATCAGGATTTGCTAAATATTGAATAAAAATTACAAATTTATTTTAAATTTATATTTTATAATTTAGCTTGCACTAACTTTATTAAAGTCATGGGCGAAACAATATGCAATGGTTATGCAATGGTTAATTCTCTAAATGGGAGTATAACCGAATTATCAAGACGCAAACATAAAGATAAATAAGCCCGCTTAACGGTCCTGATAAGTTGGACTGGATGATTGGTTCCAATTACCAAGCATTCTCGTAAACACTGGCATCCTAGCAGGTGGGGGAGGGGGGGGGGGCATTTGGGGGCACAAAAGCTTAAAGCGCCAGAACTGCATGAAATGAAACAAAAACGTTAATTGTAACGTTTGCAAATTGTCTTAACTGAATTGTATATATAAAAAATATTTGTATTGGTCGGGCAATTTCACGTACATCGGGGAAAAGTTTGTCTCTCAGGGGGCGCCAAATTCTCAGAAGTGGCTTCCCCTGGCGAACAGGGGCCAACACGCCACTGCTCGTGAATATCAAGTAATTATTTTGTAATGTCCTAATGATGTGTTTGTAACTAACGCGAGGTTCTACTGTTCTTCTCAATATCACATGTCATCATGACATTGTGTTGCTTTACTTTTAGCACGATGCAAAGGTTTTATTAATATTATTACGAAGTGCATTATATATACTGTAGTGTGCATGATTGTGCGATTGTATTTCGTTTTGTGATAATTGAGAACTATTGAACCGATATTGAAACAATTATCACAAGATGCGTTGCACCCTGCAAAAAGAATGCGTCATATCACGCGTCTTGTGATACAAACATATGTACACACGTAAAAATCTCACATCTTGTAACAAGTCTGCCAACAAGCAGTCAACAAGATGTATTCGCACTGCTTGTCACAAGTTGTCAACAGATTTGGAACAACTTCTTGACAACTAGTAACAACCTTGTCGAAATTATCAGACTTGTTGCAAGGTTGTTCTGACAAGTTCGTTACATGCTTGATATAACAAGATTGTTACAACCTTGTGTTGACAACCTTGTAACATCCTCGTTATATCATGGCTGTAACAAACTTGTTAGCACAGTCTTGTAACAAGGGTGATAATGCCATCAAGCTTGTTACAAGTTGTTAACAGCTTGTTTCAAACTTGTTACAATAAACTGCACTATGGGATCAAGCAATGCGAACACAACTTGTTGACAGCTTGTGAACAGACTTGTAACAGCTTGTTTGCAGACTTGTTACAACTTGTGCGTTTTTACGTGTGTACCTGCTTTATTAGTGCTTTGCAAAATACGCTATGACTATGTTTATGCTATATGTTAATATGTTAAAATAAAGAATAGAAAATAAAACTGCTGGGAAAATAATTACCAAACAACACAAAGCATAGCAAGGACAAACCCTTCAAAACGTTAACAATTATAGTTTAATGTTCCAAACTTATATGGCAAAAAAATTAAAAATTCTAAACTACATACAGTAAAAGGTATTCTCAGTGACTGACTCACTTGTGATTTAATTCCATTGCTTATTTCCTTTAATTCCTCCGAGTTCAAACCGAGATATTCATGACTGATTAAACGTTGGTTATTGGATGATAACCGAGATACTTCTTGTTGACTTTTACATCTTTCTACTATTTTTTAAAATACAATTTAATATTATAATGCCAATTAACATAGTTACGCTAAATCGTACTGTTGTTGTGTTAGAGAGGTTCAGATTTGACTATCGCTACCTATCACTCATGGCTTAGTACGCATCTGATTGATTAATCGGGTAGATCAAACGCATCTGATTGGTTAATTGGGTATATCAAACAGATATATTACTGAACCTCTGGGCTATTATAGTGCACAGCACTGAGGTTCCACAGACATTTGAGTTTGCATGCATGTCTAGTTTTCAAATTCAGCATGTCTCACTTTACAAATGACATACAGTACTGTACCACAGGATTCTGGAAATAACACTGGCCCAACAAGGATAAGAGTTGACAAGCAAGAGTTTGCATAAAGTTTTCTCAATGTCATGCCCTGCTCAACTGAATGAGAACAAGAGTTGTGTGAGAGTTGGCACAAAACCTTAATTATCAACTCTCATCAAAATTTGAACCAGTTTAATTAAAGTTGATGAGAGGTGATAAGACTGCATGAGAGGAGTTGATGGTCAAATGCAAGCAAAAGTTAAAAACTGTCATTAACTCTCATCAACTAGCTCTCATAAGAAACCATTTTTTAGTGGCATTTCTAATTTATCAAAATTTTGTGTCTTCCAGCAAGTTATTTTCCTGACTATCTTTTCCTGGTTCTGTGAAAATTAAAAACAATCTAGCATGGTTGAAAGCAGTATACTTGATTTATTCCATAATTAGGCGAGAGTCTGATCCAAAGTCTGGATCATCCAGACTTTTGAATAGATTGAGAATCACAACATCTGATTTGCTGAGTAGAAAACCTAGCTGTCACATGTCAGGTAGCATAATCAGTTCTTGGTAGTTTGTTGTTACATCATGACAGCAAGGAAAGTAAAGTTTTGCCCATTGGCACCAGACAAACTGATGGTATGCACCTCCCGATTCTGTACAAGGGGTTGAAATTTAAAAATTTTTTAGTTGCCCAAGTGGAAATGAATAAGATCTAGTTGCCACATTTAACATCAGGTCTCCCTAAATCAATTTGTTGTCAAGTATTATGCATATATACAACATAAAAAAAGTTGTTTAATCTGTTGGTAAACTATAGGCAAAAGAAGGTCACACTGTCACAGGGATATTTTAGGACTTTAGAATTACTTAACTATTTTAGTTTTTTTCTCAAATATATGGTCACCAGATGAACAGCCTGTTTATTTCAACCCCTGCATGTTCTGCACTCATCAGTATACATGCTCCAGAACAATTGGGACAAGGCCAATGACCTGGAGCTTGAGTTGGGTCATGCACTGAGTGACCAGGGGTGGGATCCATTCCAGCCAGACAGCTAGTAGTGACCGGTACAGAAAATGGTAAATTAACTATAATGGTAAGAGTTCACTTTATCCATGAAAGGTTTCAACATGTAAATCTTTATAAACCATTAAAAAATTACAATTTTTTGCTGTGGGGGTTGCTCATCAAACCATGGTCATTGTTTGGATTCAACCAAGTCATCCAAGTGACAGTCACTGCCAGGCCGACTGACAGGAAGAAGTGTTCTGGGGCACCAGCAAAACACCGCCCCTTGCAGGGTCCATGGCATAGCTGGTGGTAAGGGCGGTAGGATTATAATAATTGCCTTTTCAAATAAAAAATGATTTGATAAGGAAATTATAGCACCTCCCTTTGCAAGGAAAGGTGTGCACCTCCAGTAAACCATCCTAGATGCATGCTTGAATGATTGAATTAACTCCTTATCTCCGGACACTATTGTTAAAAGATCCCAAAGTCCACCAGCTTTCCTTCGGTTCCATGCAGCCAACAAGAACAAAATACTACAGTTCGATTCAGCATTTATTAATGTAAGGGGCCGTCAACAAATAGATTTCGTCATGCCTAATGGCAATTGGTGACAATAAACGTTAATGATGTAAGTTTCTTTAAGAAAATTTCACCAGAACCCCTCCCCCATAGGGGGTATTTCCCTCTATATATGTACACTGGAATGTGGAAGACACAAGCACGTGTGAATACTTCAAAGACAACACAGTCTTGCAGTACGTGATTGCACGAATCCGAAAGACGAGTGCAATTAGTAGTCTTTGAATATCTTATGACTGTTTCTTTCTAATAAATTGCACGAGAAACCAATTCAAACAGTTTCATTATAAAGTTTTAATAGCATAATACAAACCATGGCTTTCTTTAGCAGAACTTTCATAAGTCTTCTTGTTACGAACACGTTCAACACATGACTTTGGACGTCGCTGAGTCAATGTTAAATTAAATTGCTGTGCGTTTACAACACTGTAAGCTTTCTTCATACCACTGAGTTGATTATTGCCATTATTGTTTGCATTATTTTATTTTCTAACCTCATTTCAACATTCCGACGGTGTCAATTTACTCCATATAAACAATGAACTGACAGTTGCTAGGCAACCGCGAAAAGGCGCGCGCGCGAAATGAATCAAGGATCTCGAAACTACCTATGCCTATGGTCAATCAATCATACCCATACTGACAGTTTTTATAGCCAAAGACATATAAAATATTCAATATTATTTTTTAACTTAGATGCATTTTAGTTACCCTTTTAATGTTTCGTTTAGCCTTTTTTATGATTTTGTTCCACATAAAAAAACATGTTTTCAGCTGTGCAAATTTTACTTTATATCTTGAGCCGATTTAATGGCTAATAATGTCTTTCTTAGGGCCTGTTTATATGATCCCGCCTAGACGGGACGGGACGTTTTCATCCCGCCCAGACGGGATACTCGCCTAGTGTTTATATGGGCATGTTGTAAAAGACGGACTGAACTGGACTGGACTGGACCGAACTGGACTGGACTGGACCGGGAAAACGCGGACTGAGTCCGTGTTTTACAAATCGCGGACTGAATTTGTAAAACACGGACTGGACTGGACTGGACCGGGAAAACACGGACTGAGTCCGTGTTTTACAAATCGCGAACTAAGATTTGTAAAACGCGGACTGAGTCCGTGTTTTACAAATCGCGGGCTGCGATTTGTAAAAGGCGGACTCATTTTCTGACAAACATCGAAGTGACTCAGTCGTAAAGGTTTTGGCGGGAATTGCACTCAGTCGTGAAAGTTTTGGCGGGAATTGCGGATAATAGGTCGGCCGGTCAAGGAATAATCATATCCTGGACCAAAGGTTGGTATAAATTACTAGTATTTATTTATTGTTTTGAATAAACTGATGAACACGCTCAATCGTGTGGGACTTTGTGCCACTATTGTCGAGGAAACTCATGCGTATATATATCAAATGTGGCCGTTTCATGTAAACTATAATTTGTATGCCTGTATAGATATCGCTAGGGGCGATACCCCCCCCCCCCCCCCCACCCCAATACAAATCATGTGGATTGGCACGGCAATCAAAGATTTCAAATGATAGAATGTAGAGTTAAGTAATTTACAGGGCTTTCAGATGGAATTTATAGAATTTATATTGGTCCAAAAATAAGGGTTTAAGCCATGTTTTAACACGGAATTGGCACACACCCCCGAATTAAAAGGGGCTAGTTGGAGCCCCTGGATATAGCTCTTATAGCAGATTTATTTTGTGTTTGTGGCGAAGAGGGTGTATATTAGGGGCCGACCATTTAACTTTTGAGGGGGGGGGGGGTGATTTTGAAAAAAAATTTCCTGCAAGGCTATTCTGGACAAAAAAAAATACCTGCACTAACAAACTGGGGAAAAAATATCCTGCCCCAGTATTTGGTGGGAAAAAAAATGTTGCAAAACAGCATGGTTGCAGGGATCGATTTGACCAGTCCCAGAAGATCAGGTTAATTTCTTGTTGGAAAACTCCTCAAAATGCTGGAAATAGCTTATCTGAGCTTCAAAAAATCCAAAATTTTCTGGGGGGGGGCATGCCCCCAGACCCCTCTAGAGGCTCGCACCTTCGGTGGTCGACTCAGTTGTTGCTGCCCTATGACGTATACTTATTAGTTAAACCATGCATATATATGCTGTAGGTAGCTGCAGTGATACAGACAGGGCTGTAGCAAGGCGGGTATTGGGGGTGGTTAACCCCCCCCCCCAACTTTTTTAGAATCAACATATTCAGAAAATCGGGTTGGCCATTCGGAAAATTACGGCAATTATTTAATAGTAGAACAAAATTTTAGTTGTTAAACAGAGAAAATATTATAAAATTGTATTGTCACTATAAATTGTAAGCAAATTGTAAATTTCGTCATACTAAAACGCTTTTTTCTGACCATCAGCATTCTGTCAAAACTTCCCCAAAGTCCAGGAAATGGCATTTCAGAGACTCGAAATTTAAAAATTCCTCGGGCCTCCGGCCCTCGTTTTCTGCCCCCAATAAACAAAAGCTCCCTACCGCACTGCTTCTGTAATATGTCTGTGCGTAAATTATGCATATTTTTGTTAATTGTAAATTGCGTCTTCATTTTCCGAGTAGCAAACACCTTCATGGCTAATAGTATGCCATGATATATTCGGAAATTATTTTCGTCATTCGGAAATTTTTGGCCTACACCCCCTCCCCCAACTATACATGCTAGCTACGGCCCTGGATACAGACTTGCCGACTGGAACTTTTCCAGTTACACATCCATAAAAAAGGCACTGAACCAAATGTTATACCTCATAGCAAAATGTATTATTAAGAGCAATGCATGAAGCTAAAAAACTCAACGTTAACTATAATTTGTGAAGAAAATGTTTGTAATATAAGTACTAAGTATTTAGTTCAGTTCAGTAAAGTTCACCCACTAGCTCGGTGTACGAACAACCATAAATCAGTTAGAATTTATATAATGATCAAGTTCAGATTAGTGTTAAGCTTTTGTTTGTTCTCACACCGAGAAAGCGCCTATGAAGTATTTTTGGGGTGAGGTATTAATTGGGACGTAAGTCCTGTTCCACATTCCAGTCACGTGTGTTGTCTTGTAGCTTGTTATGTATATTGTTTATCAGTGTCATTGTAAATATTTGTGACAAATTTAATAATATATATATAATCTAAATAGTATAAGCTATTGAAAAAAAAAATGCTGCGAAAGAAAGTGTGGCAAAAAAAAAATCGTACATGGTGATGGTGATAAAAAAAATATAATATCTTGCACATAACGATCCCAGAAAAAAATTCCCTGCCAGCAGTAAATCACCCCCCCCCCCTCAAAAGTTAAATGGTCGGCCCCTAACCCTCTGGTGAAATTGGCGGGGTTTTTCGGGTTCATTCCACACATAACTTTCAAAATTGGAAGGAAAGAGTTGATTGGCTGCTGACTATAGGTTCGATAGACTACGTGTTCTGATTGGATATTGTAAACATCATAGCCTGTTCGCAGGCGTTTCGTGTTTTGATTGAATTGAAATATCTGAATTTTGAAATGTCTATATTATTAAATAAACGAACAAAAGTTGAAAGAAGCAGTTTTATAGACTGCATTAATAGATAGATTGATAAATTTCCTGAATTAAAAGTTTAACGGAGCATCAATGCCGCAACTTGTCCAATTTGATTCACATCAAGATGTATTTGCATCTTGCTATCGGTTATAGGAAGAGTTTAATATTCCAAAGTTCTAGCACCGAGAGTAGCACGACGACTTGGCAAAAGCCACAATTTTCTGGAGAAACCCATCTTAATAGTCATTCGCAAATTGAATTCTTTCATTGACTCTCACGTCCGTTAACTAAGAAAGCGTGGATGCCGTGTTACTTCACTGTCAAACGAAGAGGACGAGAAAGCAATACTAGATGGAGAGTTTACATTCGTATTTTGTAATCCCGAGTCTATTATTCGAAATGCGAAATGGAGAGAAATCAGTTTCATTTGGAATCTACAAGACAAATTTGCTTGCTTTTGTATTAACAGACAAAGTTCACGTCGGCCCAAAGAGGTGTGTTTAATAAATTTAAATACAGATTTTTTTGAATGTATATTGCTGGATTAAATTGAATGTATATTGCAAGATTAAAGTGAATGAATATAAATATATATTTATATTATATTATATTAAATTGAATAGATGTGATGTTTTAAATTGAATGAAATTCAGGAGAATGAATATTGCTACAGATGGGCAGGCATGCACTGGACAGTTAGACGGCCTGGCGTCAAGGATAATGATTGGATAATATTTTTAGAATATGATGCATTAAGCCATTATACATTTTTTGCATTCTTTATCCGAACCAGGAATCGCTAACAAATTCACCAGAGGTTTTCCTTTTTCTTCGCGCGTTTTCTCACATTTCGCGTTCGCCCAAACCTAAAAAAAACTATGGGCCAGGGTATGCACTATGCAGTATACTGAACAAAAATACAAAAATATATTCGCTTACAAACAGGATATTATCAACGTTTTGTTACAAACAATAAGAACGTTCAAGAGGGAAATACCTAGTAAACAAATCCAGCTTTTAGCTTCATGCATGCGCTGTAAGACTGGTCAGTAATTATCAGCTTGCACAAATTGCCCAAGAGTGATTCTTTCACGAATAACCCTTAATTTAACGTTCTATTTAAAACACGAACAAGAGTGCTTTATCAGATATAAAGCAGGGACTGCAAGTGTTTGACATGGCTTAAAAAACGACCCATCTGAATGATCTGAGTTCATTGGCAAAGAAATTAAAAATCAACGTTGTCTAATCCGAGTAAATCAACGCTATAGCTTATGTAAATGAAGATGACTTTTCATCACATATAAAACTTTTCTTTTGTCTTTTCCTCATGAATTATTAAGGCCATATAAAATAAATTCCTTGATTCTCATCACCGCCCGACGATATTTTGGTTTCCGCGTTGATATATTTTTGTATTTTGTTATAAAATATAAATTTACCGCCTGACCGAGCATCTTCAGAGATTTAGTTATTTTTATATTTTATATTGGAATTTTTGCGATATAAAATTGTTTTATCGTTAATATTGCAACATGTTAAGGGATGCTTGGAATACTGAAGGAAAAAATGGTATAGCCTTATTACTACGATTTGTGTGGACCTGTTCATTAGCGCATGTTCATTAGCGCATGTGCAATTATCCACTTTTATAGCGTTCTTCTATAATATATTTAAGGGCAATATAAAAAGATCTCCCTCTCCAATTTTTTAAATTTTAAACTTTTTTTTTATATTTTGACATAAAATATAAAATATAAACCTCCCGCCTCCTGGGAGTTTTTAAAATTTAGCGATGAGAATCAAGGAATTTATTTTATATGGCCTAAGGAGTTTTTTTTAAAATGAAGGAAAAATACTAGTGCGTAAGATTGCGTTAATAAGTTCATAAATCCCATTCATCACTGTTGCGATGTAACGATATTTAGCCTCGAAAAGTACTCGATTTAGTACAAAAACAGTGAAAATAAACTTTAATACGAAATTCCTACACGAGTTTACTGTTTACTTAGCGTTCTGGCGTATATTACTCTGATCTCAATAATCCACTGATTGTCTGCGCGCGTG